AAAACAGCTCTGTCAGTCCTGGACTCTGTGCAAAGCAGAGCAGTAACTACCAAGAGGGTGAAACAGTTCCTCAAAGTGCTGCCATGGCTTTAGAACTGCGGGTTAGAGTGGCCTCCACCAAGGGCCCGTGCCCAGCCCTGTAGAGGGAATGTTGACACAGGAAGAGCCCCACAGCCTGGCCTTTGCATACTCAATTGATACTGACCCTGCTTTCTCATCTCCCACCCCCAACACCTTATTTCTTCTCTGCTGTGCCCACATTGACCTCTAGAATTAACAGTTCCTTCCTCTTTGTGGGTGCTCCCCAAAAGCAGAAAATCAGTGGGGGCCATTAGGATTGTGACACTGCTGGAATCCAGTCCCTAAATCCAGGGTCAGTGAACCCCAGAACACAACTCCTCCATCTGCCTCTTCGTTTGATTTGACTGGCTTCTCCAACTCACACGGCCAGCCTGGAGGTCCCCAGGTTTGCGGCTGGTTGTTTTCTCTCTGGCACAGACCTTGCTATGACCCCTTCCCAGGACTGGGTTTCTAGGGTACTGAATTCCAGGAAGCACTCTCTCAGGTTGCCCCTGAGAGCAGATGCCTCCAGATTTTCCATCCCAGGGGCCGCACTGCCTCACCCTAGCCTAGGCCCTGCTGCTTTCTTCCACCTGGAAATAAGACTCCTTTCTGCCCTGGCCCCACTGCCTTTGTGGGCAGCCTCAATGTCCCAGGTCTCTCCTCAAAACAGCCACACCTCACAATGAAGTGACTGGAACAATGAAGAAGTCGCAAAGTGGCAGCAGGTCTACCCTGTGTGCATCCACTGAGCAGGACAAGTAGAAACTGCCAGGAGAGCTCCCCCCGCCCTTTAAAATGCAGAATTACAGCATGTGGGGCCTAGAAGAGACTTTATTGTATAATTTTATGTGCCCACTAATATTCAGGATTGTGAGGCTTTATGTTTGTTTGTTTGTTTGTTTTATTTTGGCTATTCTCAGAAGGGCTATTGACAAGGTATTCTGGTGGTTTAGAGAGGAAAAGTCACAGTGAAAGCCATGTAACCAAGTCAGCTAAAGACTGCAGCTCCCAACGATCAGTGACACAGTAATCAGAACACTGCTAACAGGAGTCACAGTATATTGCAGAACAGTTTACATTTCTGCGGTTGGATTTAAGCAAATGTCTCCCTGTCCTTAAGTATTAGATGGGACCAAAGTAACATAAAAAAATAAATGATTCCAAGTTAAAAATGAAATGTCATGAAATCTCCATAGGACCAGTTTGAAAGACACCACAAGTCAAGGCAAGTTGAGGATGTAACTCTACACCCAGGCTACATTAGACACTCACATACTATTGCTCAGTGAGTCTAACATAGTAGTTTTCCTCTGAATGCCAGCAACTGGGCTCTATATTTAGCTAAGTTTCCCAATCCTAGGAAATCCATTCAAGCATGACAGTAATGAGTGAGCAGTTTTTTAATATCTTTCTCCTCAGTATATTGTAATCTAATAACATTAAGAACTTGCAATCTTCAAAGCATTTTTTAGGTACTTAAATATTCTTCACCATCCACCTAAGTCTAAAAATGTCAGAACATTTTAGGGTGAGAACCCGATACCAGACATTAGTGACTCATCATCAACAGGACAATCATTCTGTCCCCAGTTGAGTGACTACTCCCATAGACAGCTTACTTCATCTGCCAAGAAATGAGTCAGTTAACTAATCTGGTAGCAGAACCATCACTTTCACAACACAGTTTTTTCCAGTTCATTCTATAAAGACTAATATTCATCACATGAGAGCTATCAGACAGAAATGATTCAATCTAGGTTTATGCACATTTCAGATACACATGTTAAGTTTTTCAGCTGCATAAGTTTATTTCCACTTGTTCTGACTTCCCAAGAAATGTGACCTTACATAATTATTTTAAACAGGTACCTTAACTCAGAAAATTAAATAAAACTAGTTGAATAAAATATCACCATAAATAATTTTAACAAAATATCTTTAAAGGACAGTTCAGAGAAAAATCAGTTAAAAAGGGGGCTGCTAGTAATTGTCAGATAATGAAACTATGTGTCTTCCCAAATTTCTAAACTGTATTTCAGAGAAATCACTAAATATCCATCTGTAAAATTACCAATAATTTGATCTAAAGATTATTGTTCAGATTTTACCTAATAAAACATACTAGTGCTTTGTTACTGGAGTTTTATTTTTCTGATTCTAAATGTACAGGATGACACAGCTTCTTACATAAATCTTACTGGTGTTTCATTTCCTTTGTAGCTATCAAAATTATTGCCAAATTATCATAAGACCTAACATAAAATTTTAAATAAAGTTAGCATTCCATTTATAATGTGATCCTGGAGAGTCTGCTTATTAATGACAAATCCAAAGCATCATGAAATTAAATATAAAATACCACAATCTTATTTACTAGCCATATAGCAAAAATATACTGCCTTCTCTTAACTATATAATTTTTCATCCAAACCAAAGACACATTCAGCTTAATCATCAGAAAGGTTAAAAGGCAAAAGCTCCTCTTGCCAAGAGTGAACAGTAAAATGGATCAGAAAATACTGATTTAATAACAGGGACCTGTGTTCAGGGGGACCTGGCCATAAGTCAAGCACAAGAGGGTTTCTGTTCATGGGGAGAGCGGCAACTCCTCTCTCACAGTTCTTATTTAGCATCAAGCCTTCTGTTAATACAAGACTATTAAAAAAATCTAAAAAATAATCCAAAAAGGTCCCGAGAAAGCCTATGACATAAAATGGCATTGTTCCTCTCCTTTTGAAATCAAGGCAAAAAATTAAAGATACGAATGAAAAGCTCAATTGGTTAACTCAAGGGCAAACATTTGATTGCAAGGTAACTGGAAAAAAGCTGAATCAGTTCCAAGTAGTAAATTGGAAACTAGATTTTCTTAAAGGCACCTCTATCACTGATTCATCTGCAAAGTGGGCTTTCTGCAATCACTGGATGGGTGCCACTGTTTAACGGTTTCACTCAGGATCAGAGCGTCTGTCCTAATGACTAGGACTGCTTCGGTTTTCCTTTGGCTGTGTCTGTGGCGAGTCGCTGCGGCACTCTGGCCAGGTAAATGAGCATATCTATACCTCATCTGGGCTTCCTATGAAATACCGGTCTCCCCAGAAGCTGTTGGAAGTATTTATTAGACAATAATTGTAAAAAACTTTTCCAGTCTTACATAGCAGTTGCACACTAAGTAATGATGGTTACGAAAGAGGTATCCTCCAAAGAAACTACTCTGAAGTTCATTTGAAAATGATTGAGACTCAGAAAGAACTTTGACTCAAACATTCTTGAGCATCTAGGGGTTCAGGGGCAAAACTCTTCTTTACCTCATTTTAGAAAGAGCTATGGGAAAGAAAGAATATAAAAATAACTATTTATGCCCTAAATAATGATGTTTTCTACTAATGCCAGTACATATGCAGGTGTGTGTATGTCTTTAATTAAGACTAGATTTTAATTAAGGCTATACTTTTAAACTTCATTTGGAAAATTTACTGGTTTTGACCACATCCGGATATGAGAAATTAGTTCAAATAAGATGTTTCTTATCATAAGGGGAATATCAATATTCATTAAGTCTGGTGAGAGGGATCTACAAAATAGGTTGGAATGGCAGGAGCATGGACTTTGGAGTCAAACAGACCTGGGTTGAAAAACTGGCTCTGCCGCTCTGCCACTTGCTGGCTGGATGGCTTTGGATGAATTACTTAACCTCCTGAGTCTCAGTTTCCTCATCTATAAAACAAGTGATGATACCTCCTTTATAGAGCTGCTGTGAAGATTAAATGAGATTTCATTTGGAAAAGTACCTTATTCTGAGGCTGGCTGTCCATCCAGCACTTACAAATAGCCACTACTCTCTTTCAGCTGAATCCTGCACCTAAACATGATGTTGTACCTAAAGAATCCCATTTGAGAGAATTTCGTCCAGCGGTTCATTGGCACTTCTACAGAATCAAAACAAATCAAGACTTCCACACTACAGGTGTTGGAGATGACTTTTCAGGGGTAATTGTTCTTTTCATGATAGATTTTAAGATTATATCAGTACTTCATGCATTTTATACACCATACCCATTTTATGTTTTTTCAAAGCAAGTATCATTCTTATGTGTATGTGAGTATATAAATATACCCATGTATAATAATATATATAATTTTTTTATAGACAACCACTGGTAGCCTGTGGAATACTGCACCTATTTTTAGGATGTTAGCAATGGAAAATCTGAGCTCTCACCCAGTCTAATCACTTCCCTTCACAGGAGAGAAACTGAGCTCCAGAGTTTGGGTAACTTGTCAAAAATCACACAGCATTAGAACTGCGAATAAAACTCTAGTCTCCTATCAACCCAGCATTCTTTTGGTGCCTTTAAATATAACTTAAAAGGCAATACAGCATACTGTTGCTTTAGAGGAAAAAGATCCTGATCAGAGATTAGAAACCTCTCCAAGGCAGGAATCATATGTTATTCATTCGTTGTGTGTAATGGAGTTCTTCAGAAGAGTGAGTGTGGAATACATACATTTCAAATGAATTAACGGGTTTTTTCTTAAGGCTACAGTGCATGTGACTTTTGTGGGGGTACTAGTTTAACAAAATTGGGCTTTGCTGTATATAATAGTTAGCAACCACATTACATCTCTTGACATAGCAAATAAATAGTGAAACAGTTATCTGGAATTTTTAAAAAATGATCTGGCATTATACAAAGTAAGACTGACTGCCAGCATGGATGACACATATTAAAAGTCCCTTTTTCTAAAGAGTAAAGATTATGTTTTTGTACTTAAATGAAACAATTGCCTGAAAATTTCACATTTTCTTCCCTATCTACATTGAGTCTTGGACTGTGTTTCTGTGAGGTCAAACATCTTGATGAAAATTTTAAAATAAGGTAACTATTAAGATGTTGATGCAATTGCAGTATAAATGAAAGAATCAGTTTACAACCGAATCAGAGAACTTATATTATATTTATATAGTAAATTTACATAGTAAAGTCATTCCAACTGTTGCAGTATTGCACAGCCATTGAAATTCATGAGCTTGAAGATAAGGTGGCAACATGAGGGGAAATGTTTGTGGTCGAATATTTCATGAGGAAAGCAGTATTCGTTGTCACGTAATTTTATAGAAAAAGAATTCTGCACAGAAAATGGCAAAAAGGAAATATACCAAAATAATAAGAGTAGCTGTGTTAGGGCGGTGGCAATGTGAGTGCTTCCTTCGTATCACTGGTTACATTACTTCTGTAACAGAAAAAAAAATTAACAGGCATTGTACAAAGAAAATGAGATCTATAAAAGAAAATATAGTAAATATCTGTGATTCATAGCAGTCCCAAATCTTTTGAAAAAACTACCCCACATTTTTATAGTTCTCCACAATGTGAATTCTCTCTTCTAGAAGTAAATGCTAAAACTTAAAATATCCTAATTTCCCTTGCCTCTTTCTGAGTCTAGGGTGAGGTTCTATAATTCAGTTTCTGCCTTCAGTTGCTCCTGTCAGAAACTGCCTGAAGAACAGACAGGGTCCAGATACCCCTTCTGCTGGCACAAGTGGTTTCAATGCCATGGTTCTGGGGGCGACAGTGGGAGAAGCAGTGTCCCCATTGCCAGGACGACAGTTTGCTTCTGGGATTAGTGGAGACTTGACCTACAACATAGAACCTGTTCCTCCTGCCTTTCCAATGACTGCTTAGACTTTCAAATCTCCCTTTATAAATCCCTTCTCATTTAAATCCCTTCTCCCTTTATAAATCCCTTGGAGTTGATTCTTTTGTCTACATCTAAGAATGCTAACACATAAAAAAAGGCTAACAAAACTGGACGTAACTAAAGAGATCATTCTGAACTTCAAAAGAACACTATAATCAAATAAAAGACCTTACCCTGACCAGTGTGGCTCAGTTGGTTGGTAGTCCCATAGCTGAAAGGTTGTAGGTTCGATTCCCAGTCAGGGTACATTCCTAGGTTGTGGCTTCAATTCCCAGTCCGGGTGAGTGCAGGGAGGCAACCAATCAATGTTTCCCCCACTCCCTTCCTTTCTCCCTTCCTCTAAAAGCAATGAAAAAAAAATGCCATCAAGTGAGGATAAAAATTAAATTAAATTAAAATTAAAGACCCTTTATCAAGTCATTTAGGGGCAAAGCATTGAAGAGTTGGTATGTGACCCTGCAGCTCTCTTCTGTGGCAGCAACCAGGTGGCCTTGTCTCCCAGGTGAGGCAGCTACGAGATGTCAGATTCCCCATTAGCCCAAGTACTGGAGAGACTGTATGGGAAAGAGCTCCCCAGCGATCCAAATAAAACATGTCATGTGATCAACAAATAAATATCTGTTATGTTAGGAGATTCGGGAGTTAATTTGTTATCATAGCATCATTTAACCTAGCCTGATTAGTATGTGATATCTAAAGTGGGATGTGTTTCATGATCAAAATAAATGTGTAAGCTTAAAAGCCTTATATGACTAGAGAATATTATACCTAATAAAGGTAGATAAAGAATGGAGTAAAGGTCTGTTCTTATTTTGCACCAAGAAAAGATATCTGGGTTTGCCAAAAAGCAAAAACAAACACAAAAAAGTAACACATTATGAAGAAGAACTCTAAATATTTAATGATTTTAAAAACAACTAAGTTATGCTTTTCAGTTCTCACACTAAAAACTAGAATTTGTGTGTGTGCACAAATTAATTTCCTTAAAATAACCCCCCAAAGCAGTATGCAATAATAAAAAGAAAATCATATTTATATATTGTGAATTTTTTGATCATCTGAAGAGAAGCGAGAGAAAATTGCTTCCTTCAAAACTAAATAAGATGGGAATGCAACACTCTCTTGCACAGACTCATCTTGCTTGTTTTTGTTGCCCTTTTCCTTTGCAAATGCCTATTTTGACCTGTAAACTACAATAGTAGTTTTTTCTGCTGATTAGTAAATGACCTTTATTTCATAAGATGTATGATGTTTTTTCACCTGAAATAGCCACTTATTTTCTACGTATCCATTATAAACCACACCACCCTGTCTGTACTGAATGACGTGGGCCACTGGGCCAACACTGGCAGGGGAATCATCACCCCAATTTTGTTGTTTGAATGAGCAACAACAGGACATTCAGGGTTCAATGTCCTGATACTGGGTTGGCCAAAATGTCCTTTACGTTTTTTCTGTACAATGACTCTAGTAGTGTTTAGTTGTCTTTAACTTTATTAAAAAATTTTTTGTTAGATTGTATTGTGACAGCTGTCATGTCAGCATGTATTTTTAAAAACTTATCAAAATTGGTGAATTTTTGTGCAGCTACTTCAATATTGAAGATGGAAAAAGATATGCAACATTTTAGTGTATTATGCTTTATTATGTCAAGAAAAGTAAAAATGCAACTGAAACGCACACAAAAAAGTTTTGTGCTATGTATGGAGAAGGTGCTATGACTGATTGAACATGTCAAAAGTGCTTTGAGAAGTTTCTTAGTACAATTGACATTTTGGCCAAATAATTCTTTGCTGTGGGGCTGTCTTATGCATTGGAAGATTTTTAGCAGCACCCCTGGTCTCTACCCACTAGAAACCAATAGCGGGAGATGGCTGACATATTCAAAATATCCAAATCAATAAAGTTATTACTGAAAATGAAAAATGTGTCTTTTATTTTATGGAAAAAAAACCATATGGACTTTTTGGCCAACCCAATAAATGATCCTCTACCATGACTTAAAGACTGTGAGTGTAAAGTGTTTTTGAAAGAGTTGCAGCTTTTATTTTGGTTTGTCTATAGCACAGAAGATCAAGTAAGAAAAAATGGGATTAGAGTAGGAGACATTTCTATCAGACATTAAGAAAAACTTCCAGAATAAAAAAAAAAATACTGGAATGGATTATTGAGGGAGAACACCTGGTGATTTGTCAGGCACACTGTTAAGAAAGACTAACTTTCTTAAGGGAGAAGACTGGGTCAGATACTCTCTCAAAGACCTTTCCAGTTCTGTGGCTTCATGATCATGAGTGACATTTTCCCATAATTCTCTTGGCTTCTCTTGTTTTTGTTTATATCATTCAGTGTCTCTTATATCTGCCATTGACTGGTGTTGCTGGAAAATGGTCTATACCCCTTCCCTAGCCAAGTGAACACAAACATGTATACACACACCTAGAAGAAGAGTCAAATAATTCTTCAGTAATCCCACAGATTCCAAACTGTAGAGGAAAGAATTCACCATTACTTTCCTTATTGAACCGGTTCATCTCTGAGCATGGTCCGTGAGTACAGGCCTCACTGACTAGACCTTGAGGGTGTCCACCAACTGATATTCCCTTGGTAATGGAAACTGTTCTCATAAGCCCCTTGTCTCTCATCACACCACCCCCTTCTCTTCCACCATAAGAGTGCTTTTACTTACTTCTTTTCACCCCCATGTGGTCTCTGCTCTTCCTCTCCAGGAGTGGCCCTTCCCCAACATTAGCAAGCATTTGTCCTCCTCCTGTGTCCTGGCAGCCCTCTCAGTCCCTGCTGGGATGCTGAGTCACAGTTCTTCCTTCCACCTGTTCCTGCTGCTGGGTGCAAAGAGGTGAAAGGTTCATATCCTGCAGCTGGAGATTTGTTTTCTCTTTCTCCCCACCTCCTCTGCCCACCTCTGCATTAGCCATCCACTGAAAAAGTTCAGACATCTTGCATCAGACTACTAATCTCCTGCCAAACAGTCCCCTACAGGTCCATATATGGGAGTCATATTCCCCTTGCTACTATAATTTAGGAACCTACTAACCAAACAAGTACTGTTTTGCTCTCAGCCTTGTATAACATTGCAAAGCCCTCTTTTATTAATTAGTTTTGGGACTAGCCATTATCCTCTAGTATGGAAAGGCAACCTCACCATACATGTAAGGTGTTATGTAAACTGCAGAGGTCAGCAAATTGTGGCTATGGCCTGTGAGCCAAATCCAGCCCAAACCTGTTTTATGGGACACAGCCATGCCGGTCTCGGTCCATAACTGCTCCTGCTCTCCTTATGATAAGGTAATAATTACTCTGTATTAAACACTACCACTCTACCTAGTCACTCAAGCCAGGAACCTAGGAGTCATCTTCGGTTTGTCATTTTCCTTCACACTCCACACCGAATTAATCAGCAAGTCACCAGCTCTTCCTCCAAAAGTTTATAGTAATTCTAATAGTCAAAGCTAAAAGAGTTAAGTTGACACTTATATTCCCAGGCTGATTTAAGAACCAACTGAGAGGAAGACACAGAGGTCACACAAATGGAAATCAAAATATCACCTTCCTTGGTAATAGAGCTAACACTGACAGCTCATTTTTCTACCTGCACGTGAACAAATCCTGATAATGTGACCCTACAGCCAGCCAGTCACAGATCTCCCTGTGCAGAAAAGAATGCCTGCCCTTGTAATACTGACCAGCATGGAGGACCAGGGCAGAATGTACACCATGACACATGCAGCAGGCAGGCAGCTTTCTAACAGGAAGAAGGGAGAAAGTTGGGGAGCCTGCTGGCATCATCTGGCACTGCCGGACAAGTTCTGGGAGGAGGGAGTGATAATGAGGAAAGACCAGGAAGGTTACCAAGAAGTCAAAAGTAAGAGGATTCCTTTCTATCAACATTCATCAGGTTTTTGTTCTCTTATCCCATTAAACTTGACCATGAACTAGGTGTGGCTGCCCTTGGGAGACAAGGATAACAATCTACTTGGGCAATCCTTGCCCCACTGTCAAAATATTATTCCCCCCAATACTGACCATCGCTCTTTTGGGATGCTGGTAGGCAGTGCTTTATTTTTAACCTCAGGAGGGTCATCCAAGGTTTGGCAATGAAATAAAATAACAACATAAACATATTCCGATCATAAAAATGCCATCAACATACAAAGTCTCAAATTTTAATATTAACTGCCTTTTCCAATGGATTTTCCAGGGAGGAAATTAAAGTTAAAAATTAAATTGCATGCAAATTAGTCCAAAGATTTTAGAGGTCAAAAGAATTAAAAGTCAAAATTCTATTCACTTGCACTTGTGGGTTAAAGATCCAAAAAGTGAAGTCCACACTTTATCCTGTCTGATTTCTTATTTCTGACCGCTCTCAGCTAAAGGGGTCCTTCTGTCAGGTAGAGCTAAGCTGTCTCTGGTAGCTCAACCTGGGCTCTCTTCTATGGGATGGATACAGGTCCTTAAGGGAGCATACTGAGTACATCCCCACTCTGTGTTTAGAAACTTACCAGAACACAGAAGACTATCCCAGTACTGGCCCCAATTCACCAAACCTAGGAAACACATCAAGTAAAATGATGTGTCCAGAGCCCAGAGTCAGTGTCACCAATGACTCCAGTAGAGATGCAGTGGTACTAGATGAGAGGAAACCTCTTCATGGTGCCAGTGAGTCCAGGCTAGTTATCTGAAGTTCACAATCTCTGAATTCACAGGGAATCTGGATCAATCTCCCATCTGGTAGTTAATTTTGACACCACGTGTCTGCATACTGTGCCCGGGGGTGGTGGCAGTGGTACTGAGGATATGCACGGAGCCTTGTTTCTAAGATAGTAGCATCAGAGATATTACAATCCTCTTGCAAAGTTAGAAATTTGTGTTGGTGGCAGCCCAAATAGCCAGGCTTTTTTTTGATGTGCTCCTGCCTTCCTATTTATTCATAACCTCTAATTTTCCATTTTCCCTCTGAGCTGCATGTCTCTGGCATCCCAGTGCTGAACTGAATGTGGGCCTCGTCAACAGCCCGCCAGCAGGCCCCTCAGTCCTCGGTTGCAGAGGGTACTTTCCATTGCCTCTTGCTATGGAATTGCTTAGAATTATAAAATCTGTCTAGAAAAGAGACTCCTGGACTGAATTACTGTTGTTGCTTCAAAGCTTGTGTTTCTCATTGTCTGTGGGAATTTTTTCCTCTCCAGTGGGCTCCTTGGTTCACCGCCTTTCCTACACTT